GGGGGGGGGGGGGAGCTGGCTCTATGTCTACACTACTGGGTGAAAGTGCTCCCAGCACCCATGAGTGAGCACGGCACAGACCAGGTGCTCACTAATGCTCACCAGAGGCAGGTGAGTCCATGGCCAAGAACATGGTGTTTTTATGAAAAAAATGCTAAAAAGATCCGGTGTTCTTATAGATCACCACGGGGCAGCTATGGCCAGGTGACCCATCCAAGCCTGAGACTAGAGATTAGAGATGGTGTCATCAGAGTAAAGTCCAATCAAGTCCTTTTCTTTTTTTTTGGTCTTCTTGAGAGAGGGTCTCCCTGTAGCCCCAACTGTTCTGGAACTCACTAAGTAGACCAGGCTGGCCTTGAACTCAGAGATCCCTTTGCCTCTGGTCTCCCAAGTGCTGGGATTAAAGGTGAGCACCACCAGGCCCCATTAATCAAATCCTTTTCAAAAGATACCAAAATTAAATTCATCCTTCCCTCCTAATTTCTCCTCAGTAGCAACTCACAGATGCTCACAAGATACTCTGATTCTAGCTTCCTAGAAAATTGCAAGGGGAATCCAACAGCTTTGAATATCTAAACCAGATGGGATGCCTAAACTGGGAGGCTAAATCCCCTGTGTGTCACCTGGTTAAACTAAAGGCCTGATTCAATTCTGCCCCCATTGGTAACTTAGAGGAAATACATCAAGAGTCCTGGGGACATTCCACTGAAAGGTGAAAGGCTGAAAGGTGGCTGGCTCTAAGTGTAAAGAAAAGCCTAAAGGAAAGACATTTTCACCTTGTGGTGCTCAGTGACCACACCACCAGAACCTGGGTTGGGCACAATCACCTGCATCCTACAGGAAGAAACTAGTGGTTCCAAGCCCAGGATCCTTTGTTGAATAAACCACAAGACAGGGGGTTAGAACTCCCTTCCAGACACCCTGGTAATTCTCATTCCACTCTGGGATTACAGACAACTCCATGGAAAGCCCCAAAGGGTGTCTGTTATACCTCCACAGTTTCACCACATTAAAGTTTGTAAAAGAATTCCAGTGTTCAGGAGGGACATTCATTCAACAGAGGCCTCCCTAGGATTAAGGAGCCTCCACTTTGTATTTTAGGAATTGCCAAGGGATGACAGTCTCCCATCAAGAGTTAACTCCTACCTTAGGCAGAGAAACTTAAGTCGCCAAGATTCTGCTAGCTCAAAGACTGTTTCTAAATAGAGTAACAGTGCGTGGTGTCACATGCCTTTAATCCCTGCAGACGCAGGTGGATCTCTGTGAGATTGAGGCGAGTTCCAGGCCAGCTGGGGCTACAGGGAGGCCCTGTCTCAAAAAGCCATAAAAACACAGATATAAACAACCTGAATTAAAGTGCGAGGCCACATCCCAAAAGACTAGAGAGCAGCCATTTGCCAACTGTAAAACTCCGCTAAGCCAGGAGTCTCCACTCCCCTTCCAGTCGGAGGTTCATCCGCTGGGGTTCTGGAAACTTCAAGGTGGCAATCCGTCATCTCAGGTAAGCACTCAGGACCACCAGAATGAGGCGGAGGGATAGGAACAGGCTCCACGCCCAGAACGGGGCCAAAGCATTTTCTCTAAAGTTATGTCCCCAGCAGACGTTGAAATTTCAAATCTGCAGCTGAGCAACTCTCACAGCTCTAACACAAGCCTCAGGACCTCCCTGGCTCCCCTGCCCCATACCCAGACCATTCCTCCCTCCTCAAATCCTGGCCAATCCCCTAATACACAGCATTTGAGAAACTCAATTCTGCCCGAGAGCGCCCGAAGCCTGGCTGGGGTCCACCCCCGCCTCCACACCCCGAGGCGGGGAGAGTGAGGCTCCGGGCAGGGCTGGAGGCTCTTTCTCATGTAAATGACCCGCCGTGGGGAAGAGAGAGCTCGCTTTTGCAGGAAGCTACTGCCGGTGAGGCGGACGCAGGCAGGTCGGAACAGCAAAAAGTTCCTTTTCGCCGAAACAAAAATAAAATCTCAGGGAATCACGGGGTAGGAAGTTTGGGCGTGTGGTCCTCTCCACATAACTTTAGGGCAAACCAGAAACTACTACCCAAAATCCGCCCCCAGCTCGGAGGCGGGCCCGGGGACGCAGGCGGGGCGGTCCCCAGGCCCATCTGTGGGGGTGGGGGGGAGCGCCCCTCACCGAGTCTCAGTTCCGGGCAGCTCAGTTCCGGGGAGGGGGTGCGACGGGCCAGTCTTTCTGAGCCTTTTTCCCGCTCCTTCCTGGGTCGCCTTCTCTGACCTTCCTCCGAGGGGCACCACAAGAAACCAATTGCCTCCCAAACACGTCCTTAAGCACCCGAGGGCCGGACTGCCCCACGAGGCCACAGGCCTCCTCCCCCAAACTGGGTTCTCCCCACGTGCTCCAGCCGGAACTCCGGCTGCAGAAGGGGGGCTCCCACGTGGGCCCAGCAGTCTTTGACTACGTGCGGGGCTTCCCGCCCCTCTACAAGCCAGGAAGATGGGGTCGGGGGGCGAGGTGGGGGAGCGCGTGCAGGTCGCAGGGAGGTGGGGACCCTGTGGTGCACGCACCCGAGCCTCGCACGCGCGCTCCAGCCGGGCTGTTGCTTAGCGGACGTGGCTTCTCGCGCCCAGGACCTTCCCAGCTACTCAGACTTGTCCACGTCCCCAGCCCCAAAGGAGGAAACGGGTCCCCAGCAAAATCCAGACTCCCGGAGACCATGCAACTTTGTCGGGAGACCCAGCCACCCCCGCTGGTACGGACTCACCTTCTGCACTTGGTTTTGGTTAAGCTCTGTGAATAAGCAGGCGATCATATGCGAGGCGATCATCCTGCCGCGGCGAGACGGGGCCGAGCTGGGAAGCTGAGGCGCGAGCTCTTGTAGGGCAGCGGGAGGCGCGGTACCAGCGCCCTGCGCTCAGGCGGGGGTATTCGGTTGGTTTCGAAGACTCCAGGAGCTGCACAAGGAAGGCTAACGACGATGGCACTCCAGCCAGGGGTCCCTGGTCTCCAGAAACCGGTTCTTCGGAGTCACAACTGTTAGGAGGTTCTAAGTCTCGCTGTTGGGGACGCGTCTTGTGGTCTTCGCGAAGTCCAGGCGCTAACTTAAGCCACAGGGTCACCAAGGCTCAAATTGGGAAGAATGACAGTCGGCTCCACTGGGACGATCACGCCTCTAAGGGTCACACGCGTGATACTCCCGCCCTCGGATCTCCTAAGTTGGGTAGCACACTACTACCAGTGAAGTCCCGGACTCTAGCGCCGGAGTTTGGAGCAACAATGTGGCTTATTGAGAGACTGCCGGCTCTGGGGCCGCCCCGGGCAGTGACGTGCGCGCGCTCATTGGCTGTGAGGGGAGGGTGTGTGCGCCTTCGGGCCGCCCCCAAGCGCGGCACAGCCAATCAGCGCGCACAGCCCGCGGGCGCGGCCTCTCCCACACCCGAGCGGGCGGCTGAAGAGGCGCGCCTTGGGCTGGAGGCGGGGCGGGGCACCGAGGTTGGGACGTGTGTTCCGTGGCTAGAGCCTGGGACTCCAGGGCGCATGAGCCACTGCCGCGTCAGGCTGGCTTCGGGTGGGGGGCGCGTGATCGCGGACCCAAGAGGTGGGGCGACTGGAAAGACAAGTGACTGCACACGCCCTGGGCGGGCAGGGACATAGCCTAGTATGTGAGGATCATGTGAGGGGGCTGCCAGGGCCCTATTACAGGTTTGAAGCATCTTGATTCTCATCCATTTGTAGCTCAGCGGGTCAGCGCATCGCTGAGTCACTGAAGCCATTACAAGTCAACTCATCTTAACCTTCACACTGATGGCATGTGGGTTTTACTAACCCCGTTTTACAAATTAGGAAACTGAGGCACCCTACTCTTAAAGAAATTTGCCCGTTACCTCACTAACAAGTGGCAGATGGAGATAGGAACAAGTCTCACTTATTGATGGCATTCTCTTTCCCATTATCCTATCCAGTCTCTCTAGGAATCAGGAAAGAAGGCTAGAGAGAAGCCTGGGATGGAAACGTGGAAGGAGAAAGTGGGTGGATAGTAAGGGGGCAACTGCTTGATCATGGGCTGGGGAGAAGAGGGAATGGAACGGCAGTGCCAGATTCAGCTCATGCCTGACACTAGACTCCAAGTTTGCATACATGGATAGAAGCTGACAATGAAGTACCCACCAAAATTGACAGGTTGGTGCTGGTGGAGAATGTCAAGCCTAGAGTTGGAAAGGGAACACTGAGAGAAGGGAAAGTAGGTGGGGTTCTATGGAGTTTCTCTCAGTAGTGTGCTATCTGAAATGCATAGAGACATTGTTACACAAATAGTGAAAGCTCTTTGTTGAACAATTGGAATCTATATATGATCTGGGTGTGGTGGTGCACACCTGTAATCCCAGCACTCAGGAGACAGACAGAAGAATCACAGATTGCAGACCAGCTAGGCTACATAGGAAGACATCTAGAAAAGCAAAAATAAATTCAGGGCAGGCTAGTGATGCATACCTTTAACAGCACTCAGAAGGCATGGGTGGGCTGATCCCTGAATTTGTGACCAGCTTGGTCTACATAGTGAGTTCCAGGCCAGCCAGGACCAGACAGTGAGATGCTGTCTCAAAAAAAAAATAAAATGAAATAAACTCACAAAACAAAACCCAATATATGGATAAACGGGTAAAGACATGCACGATGTTTCAGCAGATCTTGAAAGCTGTGTACCCTGCTCAGCACCAACTCTAGACTGAGCCCAAATGCTTCGACGCCAGTCATTGTTATGCTCCACATGGCAGATCTATGCTCTCTCCTCTTCCCTGCCCTCATCTTATACTCTGTTCTCTGGGATGTGGGGGAAATTGATCACGTCCTCCATTTGGACACATCTTCCATACCCAGTTAGAGCCAGATATTTTGCTCTGTTGGTTTCCAACTAACCTAAGTCCCCCAAGCTCCCCCTCCATCTCCCAAGTGGTAAGAGCCACCACATCTGGTTTGTGTCATGCTGGGGATGGAACCTAGGGCTTCCTGCATCCTAGCCAAGCACTCTATCAACAAGCTACAGCCCCACTGGATCTTCTCTGTTAGGAACTGCTGCAGTATTCCAGAGCTGCCTTCTACCCCATCTTCGAAGGGGTTACATTTTCTTCCTAGTCCAGCCCCTTCCCTGACTATTATATCATCTACATACAGTAAACTCACAAAGGTAAATCTACAAGCAAGGACCTCTCCCAGAGTCCCGACCTTCCTCTCCAGCTGCCATCTGTCACCCCTACTGAAGAGCCTAGCATCCATCTCACACCTAACATTTGTGAGGCTGAACTCAGCTTTTCTTCATAATGTTTTTTATTTGCCAGTTGTCTCAGAAAATGGCATTGCCATTCCCCTGAAGTCATCCATGATTCCTTCCTATCACTCATCCTCACATCTACTCAATGCCATCAGCCAGCAGTCGATCTGACTTAACAAAGATGCCAGTCCCTGGCTGGACACTTCTCTCCATGTTCTTGGATACTTCCTGTCCAAGCCACCAATAACTCTGCCAGAGCACACACTACATCACCTGCTACAGCCTCTGTTTTTGCCTACTTCCATGCCTGCCTTCACCTTGACCCCTATGAGCTCTTCTCACTCAGAAGCCAAAGGAACTTGTTTAGAATACAAACCAGAACTGGTTGTTGTGGAACAAGCTAGTATCCCCAGCACTGGAGAGGTAGAAGTAGAAGGATCAGGAGTTCAAGGACAGCTTGAACTACAAGAGACTGTCCAGATAGATGGATGGATGATAGATAGATAGATAGATGATAGATAGATAGATAGATGATAGATAGATAGATAGATAGATAGATGATAGATGATAGATACATAGATACAGATAGATAATAGATAGATGATACATACATACATACGTAGATAGATGATTGATTGATTGATTGATGATGATGATAGATAGATAGATAGATAGATAGATAGATAGATAGATAGATAGGTGATAGATTCTGGATAGATACCATATTGTCTTTTTCTGGCTCAAAACCATTGATGGCTTCTAATCGTAAAATAAAATTCAAACTCCTGACAAAGACCACTGGAAATAACTTTTACTTCTAGGTTGGAGAGATGGCTCAGCAGTTAACAGCACTAGCTGCTCTTCCAGAGGACCTGGGTTCAATTCCCAGCACCCATATGGTAGCTAACAGCCATCTATAACTTCAGTTCCAGGGGGTCCAACATGCTCTTCTGGCCTTCATGGGCATTGCATATGCATATGGTGGACTTACACACTTTATACATTCAGGTAAAACATTCAAACACATAAAATTTTTAAAAAATTTAAGAGAAGTTTTACTTCTAAGCAGGTATAGTGGCACACTCCTTTAATCTTGGCACTCAGGAAGCAGATGCAGGAAGATCTCTGTGGGTTCAAGGCCAGCCTGGTTCACATAGTGAATTCCAAGCCAGCAAATGCTACATAGTGAGACCCTGTCTCAAAAAAAAAGTGGGTTTTTTTTTTCTGTTTTGTTTTGTTTTTATATTTTATTTATTATTTTTTGAGACAGGGCCTCCCTGTAGCCCCAGCTGTTCTGAACTCACTAAGTAGATCAAGCTGGCCTTGAACTCACAGGGCTCTGCCTGCCTCTGCCTCCCGAGTGCTCGGGACCACAGAGGTGTGCCCCCACACCCGGCTCTTTCTTCTTCTTTTTAATTTTTAAAACATTATTATTTTTTATTGTATGCGTACACAACATGTATTGCCTGCGTGTAGGAAAGTGCACCCCTCTTGTGCAGTGCACGTGCAGTGCAGAAGAGGCTGTCGGATCCCCAGGGACTGGAGTTACAGACAGTTGTTAGCTGCCATGTGGGTGCTGGGATTCCAACCCCGGTCTTCTACGAGAATGGCCAGCGTTCTTAACTGCTGTGAGCTATCTCTCCAGCCGCTCTTTATGGCATTTTCACTCTTATGTCTCAGTGTACTTTGTCTGTCCTCCATCATTCCCTCCTTCCATTTTCCTCCCCCAAAGAAGGCCTTCTCTCTCTCTCTCTCTCTCTCTCTCTCTCTGTCTCTGTCTCACTCTCACCTTCTCTCTCACTCTTTCACACACACACACACACACACACACA